TTAAAAATACAGTGCATTGATATACTTACGTTGCGACGTAAACCAAAGCAAACAAAATCTTAAAATTTTTCTATATTAACTAAAAAAAGGATAAATATTTTAATATACATGTAAACCTAAACCCTTGAAGTGCAAAAAGAAAATTTTGCGTGATGGAAATTCCCGTATATCGTACAATATGTAGTTGATATTTTTTTTAATTTATTGATTATAAATAATTTAAAAAACAAGCAGGGCCTTTACCCCTACATTTTATATTTTATTTTTTTTCTCAAAAATTTTTAATGTATTTTTGGGGCTTTGGGTAACGTTAGTTTATTTTGTTTATAATATCATATGGACCATATAATTACTGCAAGTTATAAGTATGTGCTTATTGTTTAGTTGTTTAACATCTAACGTGCTTTAAACACATTGACAACCTCATCTTTGATGCTTCCCGTAGAGGTTTACAAAAAAGACTTTCATATTTTTTTTTCAAATTTAAAATGTGCATTAATTCTAAGAAAATAACAAACGAAAAAAAACACGCCTTAAGTACGAACTAAATTTTGAAAAAGTAGACAAAAAAATGATTTAAATTTAATGTTGGGTATATCTTTTTATTATCTTTTTCACATCTGTTTAACTGGTTTAGTTATAATTTAAAAATTTAATAGATTTTTTAAGTTGGTTTTTTTAAAGTGAAGTTTCTTTAATGTTAATTTTTAAAAATATTGTAAAAAATTTTTTTAAAAAAGTTCAACAAATTTGAAAGTAGAAAATATAGCAAATTCAAATTAATTTAATCACTAAGTTTTGTAAAACCAATTACGAAATAGTATTGAAAAAACTTTTCCCAATGCTTAGGTGTAAATGGTTTAAAAATTTATTTTGTCTACTGACAAATTAAATAGAAGATCAAAAAGAAAGCAAACATAAGATGCGTATACTTTCTGTTTAAAAAAAAGAAGCTTCAGTTATATTGCTAAAGGATTGCATAGTTACGAATTCATTTGGCTAAATATTATGATTCTTATAATAATGTGTCGACTTGTTTTTTCTGTTAAGGGCAATCATGAAATATTTTTGATGGAAATTGATTTAATTTGAGATAATTGTTATCTTTTATAAGTTATTAATCACTCATAAATCAAATTGTGGTATTTAACGTACACACTAAATGTTTGTTTTTTTTTGGGATTTTTTTACAACAGGATCAGATAAGGTAAAGACATTTTAGTTTTGAATATTACAACTCCGGATAAATCTCTCACCTACACCCTTGCCCATTAACGTATAGATCTACCTGTTATTTGACGCGCTATTTACATGTTATAATAAAGCTCGCTAAAATACTTTAACATTGGTCTGGTATGATATTCATTTAAGGCCTAAAGTATTTACGAAATAGCTTGGTGTCTTTTCAGATCTATCGACTGATCTTATATGTAGAGCCAATCTATCATTTATGTTTTACCGAAACACATGTTTTTACTTGTTCAATTGCCTACTTCCCTATGACTGGACGTTTGATATACAGCAAAGTCACGTGGTAGTTTTACATTCAATTCGTTCTGAAGTCCATTATGGATAATCAATAAGGTGTATCAAAACATGTTAATCTAAAGTTTAAAAATACATTTTGCATAATCCATTACTTTGGGGATATGTCAAGATGGCCGAAAAAAGTCCGGGATAATCATTTTAACACATAAGAACAACTTGCGGTAAGTTTTAATTGATTAATTATGTCTCATTAATATGCACATTTTATGATTATGAGAATGTAGATGTCATGTTCATACTAGAGAGCTTATTATATTTAATGTTTGATTGTTTATGATCAAAGAAGCTAGGAAGTGACAAAAATGCTATAATCTATTAAATATAGAGAGGATATTGAATGAGTGTAAGTTCAATACTGAATTTATTGCACGAGTTGAATAAAATTATATTATGCGAGCCTCTGGCGAGCATAATATTATTTTATTCAACGATGAATAAATTCCAGATAATGAACTTACACGTTTAATATTTATTTTATCACATACCCCAAATAAAGACGTTAAATATGTGAAAATGAGTCTTTTTCATTGACGCGTCTATATAAACGCTAACATTTAGCGCGTTTTACACTCTGTTTGTTTAACGCAATGACTCCGTCAAAATATTGCACGGCCGTGAATACCATTTTAACGGAATCGCAAAATCGGCACGGGTGGTTGTAAATATTTGGTAAAACAGTGAAAAATGAAACCGATGAATGGCATTATAAAACGGGGAATATAATTTTAATACTTTAACATGTATATATAAAGGGTGAAAAAAAATGACAATGAAAATTAATCTTTCTTTAATAACAAATTTTAAGGAAGAACTTGACATATCTATTTCATTGTCGGGGTCTGCAAACACTTTGGTTTTCCCTTAGGTGGATATATGTATAGCATACGGCTTTTTTTTGCCTTAGGGGATTTGATTGACATAAACGCTTGCCTGTGGCCTTAGGGCGGCCTTTATTATACGCTGTCTGTGAATGGTTTGGTTGTCAACAGAATGCTTTATGATATTATAAATTTTAAAGGTCCCCCCACCAAATCCAAAATTGCAAAGGCTTACTAGTCAATATTTGTTTTAATACAAATAGTATTAAAGTAAGAAAATAATAAATTTGCTAAATAATGTAATATATTAATTTATTTGATAAAAGTCAGTTTAAATGTTTTTTACATGAAGAAGTAATTTTTTCAAATTATTATAACAAATTCATAAAAATAAGATAATTCTTTTAAATAATTATTTGGCGAATATTCAAATTTATTAGCATTTTTCAAAAGTTTAAGCTTTCTGTTTCACAATTATAAAAAGATCTACGGACGCTGTTCTTGCAAAGGGGTTTCTGAGCAGTGTTTAGGACTATTTTAACTTAAATAATTATGAGATACATTTGTAAAAGAGATTCTACTTATTTATAATTGGACGAGAAAGCTTGTTTAATATCAATCATTTTCGAGAGCCCAAAACCCTTCGGATTATAACGATTTTATTTTGTGAATACTCGCTTTCTTTTTAAAGACGTTTTAATTTCATTTCGAAATTTTACTTTGGAAATTTATAAATGTTTTTTGTCGATACAGTTAAAGGGCATTTTTGCAAAAAGGTTACAAGTATTTAAAATTTGTCCCAAAGAATATTTGACTACCCTTTTGCATACTATTATTGATAATTTTTAAATTCTGCCTTTAATATGTTTAAACTGGTTTTCAAATTAAAAAGTTTGGACTGATTTTTTCCTATTTTTTTCCCCCTTTGAAAAGTTTAACTTTCCCTTCTTAACATATGGCCAAAGAAAGGTTTTATATCTTTTCTAAAATTATTTTAGGATGGTATGTTTTACTTACTGGTACAAAATGTATTTTTATTATTTGAATAAACTTTCCACAAAATTAAGAACACCCGTCATAAACCGTTTGTTCAAAGGTTTTTTAATCTAAAATTTACTATTCTCATTTTAAAGTGATGATATCAAATATTTCCCTTTGTATTAAAAATCATTCAATGGTATAAATTGCGGCAAAGAAGATTATATAAGATAGCAATCTTCTTTATAAAATTAAAATCCTTAATGCGTTTCCTCAATTTAAAATGAAAATTATCATCTGTTTTTAAATATTAATTTTTCATGGTCATTTTAAAAGACTTTCAATAAAGAAAAGTTATTTATTTTTTTAAATGAATTTAATTTTCTAATGATATATGGAAATCGTATTTTCAAAATTATTATAGCTATTTTAATTGTCGAACAAAATAAATTATTACAGTAAATAATGTAATAACTATATTTTTTTTAATTACTATCTTATAATCTAATACCACAAAAATTAGTTTTTAATTTTTTGAATAATTTTGTTTTTTTTTTGTTATTAATTCTAAACCTGTTTTTTGACATACATTCGAACTGGACAATCTCTTTTGGAGCCCGCTAATCTAGATAATGAGTTTCGATATGGAACTTCATAAAAATTGTATATTGTTTTCTGGTTTGGGGGGCCAACTTTTTACTTTTTCCCAAATAAGTCTAACAGCGATATATATTTTGTGAATAAGCTCTATTTTTTTGGATAATGAACTGTAAAAATAAGTCCCAGCTCTCTTGAAAAACCTTTATTAGCCGGACAATGAATGAATAAAAGGGGTTAATCTTGAAAGTTTGGTAGAATTCGATAAAAGTTTTTTTGTGTGTCTGCAAAATTTTCCCTATTTCAACAAAAAAAAAAAACCGATATACATAAAATTTTGCCCTTTTTTACATTTTTTTTAAAAAAAAATTGTAAATTTGCTCTGGTGTTGACGTGTATTATCCCTTAATTTGTATTTACCTTGGTGTTTAAAAAAAAAAATATACCGGGGTTTATTATAAAACTTTTTTCCCCATTGTTAAAACCCTAACCCAAAAAGATAAAAAAGAATACCCCGGGGTATTACGAACCTAAATTTCTCGGGAAAAAAGGGGGTTTGGGTAGTTTTTATTTGGGTTTAAAATTTTTTAAAAAAAAGGCTATTTGGGTAGAGTGAAAGAGAGGGGTTTAAAATAATTAAAATAAATTTTAAAAATTTTCGATACCCTTTTGGGTAAAGAGTTAACAAATACTGGGTATTTCTGAGAGTGGGTGATAGCATAGATTTAGGAAATGTTAAAGCGGAAAAACTGCTTATGACGGTGGATAGAAGGTTTGAAAGATGTTTAAACAAAAAACTGAGTATTCTGGGGGTATTAAGGGGGTGTTAATATTGGTGAAAATCTTTAACTAAGACCCTTTTATAACTGACTTAAAGTGGGGCTTAGGTAGATGGTACTTATGAAAGAACGACTTAATGATTGCTTTAGATGGGTTTAATAGGGTTGGTGAGAAATAGTAAACAAAAATATACTGCTTTAAATTAAGAATGGTTGCTTAGTGATGAGAGATGTTTTAATAACTGGATATTTCTATATAAAGTTTTGCAATTTGGTTTAATATATGAGATGTAAACAAAATTTATGTTACTGCTTAAGGCGATAAGAATTAAATTGCTTAAGCGTATGGTAAAAGTTTTTACAGGTATAAACATTCTTTATTTTGTATACAATATGTTTTTATGCTGAATACAGTGTTTGTAAATATTTGTATAAAATGCAAAAGATTAGTTTAACTTTAAAATGTTTATTTTTCTAAATAGTATATTTTAACCATATATTATGGTTTGGTAGTCTCCAAGAGATAGATAGAATATATGAATATGGACAAATGAGATTCAGTAATGTTCCAGTACTGGAATCTGGTTGCTTAACCTGGTAATTAAGATAAAAAAAAGTTTCAAAAGTTGTAATTATGTTATATTACGGGGACCATTGTTTAATCTTTTCTCTATAAAAACCCAGAAAATGTTTATATAAGAATATCTAAAGAGTTTAAATTGTTGTTTTAAATCTGAACAAATTTGAAATGAATTTTCAAGAAATAATTTTTGAAGAGAATAGGATATATTAGAGCTATTTGCTAGGAAAAAAAGGGTGGCAACATCCAATTTTTTTTTTCGAAAAATTAATAAATTTGAATAAATAAATATTTTAGCAAAGAAATAGCTTAGATTACAGTATCTGTTAATAATGGTGAGATAGCTGGGAAAAGTGTGATACTTATAGGTTAGGTATTTGGCCTAATAGAATGGGAGTTAAACTGGCGATCGAATAATATCATATCCCCAACTCATCTCACATTAAAATAAAACACAAATAGTTAGAATTTGTTAATCATCCATAAACCCCAATAAACATTAAAGTACAACCAATTTTTTGTTGAAAATAATTTGCTGGAAAATATGTATTTGGTAAGACACTTTTGGTCAATAAGTTCAATGTCCAACATTCAAGCAAATACAATTCAAAATTAAAATTGAAATGAAAAAATGAAAATTACTGTACTGTATGCCCGCTTTTTTTTTTCTCATAATTAAAGAAACTGCAAATAATGCCTTAGTGAATATTGCGCTATTTAAAAAAAGAGTATTTTCCGTTACCAAATTGTTCAACAGGTGTAAGGTAAAACATTTTAGTGTTCAAAAATCGTTTTATAATTTGTTTGGGTCGTAAAGACCAAACAAATAAATGGGTAGCGAAATTTCAGAGGTCTAAGTTCTTTAATTGGCAAACGCCGAAAGTAGTTTCACTTTTTTGAAGCGGTTACTCCCTTTTGTAAAATGTTACACTAAAGCCCGAAAAATTCAGGGGGAGAATCACCTGCGTAAAGATGGTAAAGACAGGGCGCAATCAATTTTCAAGGCCAAGTAAATTTCCCCAGAATGGTCGAAGATTTCTAATATTATTTTTCTGGTATTTTTTTGATCGAAAGCGGACATTCAATCTCTTGACACAGAAGTTTACGAAAACCTGACAACCCAAGTAGTTCTCAAACAGCTTAAAACTAGCGATTAAGAAAGAATATTTTATTTTGTTACAAGTATTTCCAACAAATTACAAACGCATTTAAGTTAACAATAAGCGTTGGCTTATAGAATTGTCAATAAATGCACAATCACAAATTACGCGGATGGGAATATGATTTTACATCAATGAAAATACTATTTTTTAGCCATGTAGGATTACCGAATACTACACAAACGAGTAGTGGAAATATATCGATTTTTACATGTCGGACTGTTTCGGCGAGAGGCGTTTTTCGCAAAT